ATATATATATATATATATATATATATATGTACATTGAAACAGCCTAGTACTGGACAAGCAAACAAAAAAGAAAAAAGAACCAACGAAATGATCTTTTACGTCCATCTTTGAAAAATTTACGTTGAATTCAGATTACTTCTACGTTCTCGTCGAATTTTCCATCACGCTGCAGTAAAAACTTAAAAATTTGTCTTACTTAACTCTCTCAAACCTGTGCTCGATTTCGTAAATCCCGACAGGTTCTTTAATCTTGTCGCAATAATCGGCCCATTCTCCGTCGCTTAAATCTACGTCCGTGAACTCCTTCCCGCCGTTTATCGTTTTAGCGATCCATCCTTCTCTTGCCGAGAAATCGTTCGGCTCGAGGCCTCGACAATCGAATATCGCTATCGTCTGAAACTTGTTCTGATCGTTCGCGAGAAACGATTTGACGGAATCCTCCAGGATGGTCATGGAATTTTCGCGGGAACAGAGCTTGCACTTGCTCGCAAAGTGACTCACCGCGTTCCCCCTTTGAGCTGGAATAGACTCGCTCAATGACACGTAATTCCATTTCTCCGATACTTCGCCACAGTTGCAGCAAGTAAACTTCAGATACCATCTGAATTCTCTCCCCGACGCTTTCACTTCTTCGATATTTTCCAACGTAGCTTTCACTTGTAATCCTATTTTTACCATTCTGGCAAGATTCCTTTCTCCCGTTTTCCCTTTTAAACGGCAGATTCACAATTACAACGGTCTTACGTTAAATATAAATTGAGGTTATGTTGCAAACGAACGACTCGTAAACGCATAAACGATACTTCTCCTTCTAAAATTAACAACGCGTGTGACAGCACGTTGATACTTTCGCGCAAATTATCTCATTTCTTATTCAAACGATCAATCCTGAGTAATGCTGAGTAATGCTGAAGAAGTAATGCTCACTTTTGAACCATCTGTCGTATCGCAAACGTATCGTAAACAGTCGAGCAAAGCAAAATTTGAACGGCGCAGCGTATGTGCGCATGAGTGCAATACCTGTTGATAATGTAGAAAATGATTTAGCAAATGTTCTATAGTTTCAGTTTTTCATCTACATTTGCCCAAGATACGAGCCGGTGCTTTGGCAATGGTGTGATACAAAATCGTTGTATGGTAACACGTCGTTCGTGTTCTTGGTTATCTATGAGTAGCGGACGAGAGAAACAAGCATGAAACGAACAGCTTGTCTTTTTGCACTTTGTTTTTACATTCTAGCCACGTATTCTAAGGCCGAAGATATTTTAGGTTGTGGTGGATTTTTGAAAAGTCATGTCAATATTGATTTTGCTAAAGTACAAATAAAATTGTGAGTAGTCCGATCGAGTTCGATTCCTGGCCCGAGAAGAACATCACTCGCAAGTGACAATAAATAATAACTTAAACTTTCAATCTATTTAGATACACGAAAGCTGGCAGTCTTAAGGATTTTACAGAGTGTGCGCCTAACAATGGATATTATTTCCTTCCTTTATATGACAAGGGAGAATATGTTTTAAAGGTGAGACAGAATGATGCAGCAAAACCTCGTGACACTTTGTTTAGTACATTTTATTCAATTAAATACAGCTAAAGTGAAATTTAATTTTGAATATCACCTTTATGTTTTAACGTATGTGTATTTAGGTGGATCCACCTAGAGGATGGAGTTTCAAGCCTACAGAAATCTTGTTGTTTGTAGATGGAACTACAGATGCCTGCAGTCAGGGCAAAGACATTAACTTTACCTTCAAAGGTTTTGGTATCACAGGAAAGGTAAACTATCTATTTGAAATTGTATATTTAATACAAAATCCAAGATGTTATGTATGGAACAATAAAAATCATTCTATTGCAACATCGTTGAAAGATATAATATGATTTAGGTTACCAGTTTAGGATTGGATTCTGGTCCTAAAGGTGTTATGGTGTCACTGTACAAAGAAAGCAATGAACAAGATCCTGTTGGTACAACCTTCACCATGAAAGGTGGAATATTTTATTTCACTCCAATACAACCTGGACAATATGTACTCGTCGCGTCTCATCCTACGTGAGTGTCGATCATCAAATTTGATCTTATTACATCGCGAGATTATTACTGCAACATTGCATTTCTCTATGCTACAGCTGGATGTTGAAAACAGATACGGTTAAAGTAACTCTACAAGAAGGCAACACCGAACTTTCCGACGGTAGTTTAGTAATCTATGGCTACGATGTGAGCGGTCGAGTTACCAGCGAAGAAGAAGCAGTTAGCGGTGTAACATTTGTATTATTTGGCGTAAGAGTTCCCTTCGTTTCGAATATTTTTCATTCATGTTACAAAATTAGTCAAATCTGATCTATCTCTGTTGCGTTTGCGTAGAACGGTGTAGCCAGAAATTGCGCAACGACACCTATAAGCGAAGATCTCGAGTCTAAAAAGCCACTGTGTCACGTTGTGTCGGACAAAAGTGGTAAATTCGTGTTTCCAAGTTTATCACCTGGCGAATATAAACTCGTACCGTATTATGCCGGTGCGCAAACTAAATTCGACGTTCAACCGCCTGAATTGTCGTTCAAAGTGAATCACAGCAGCATCATATTACGTCAAGGATTCAAAGTTACCGGTTTCACGGTAAATGGCGTCGTCCGTGTTGCCAATGACGGAGATCCTTTGCCAGGAGCAAAAGTTTTACTCTTCCAGAAGCAAGTCGCCGTTACGGATAAACACGGAAAATATGTATTGGATAACATGAAAGCCGGTCAATATACACTCAGAGCTGAAAGCGGTACGTCAAATTTGTTTCATATATATTCTCTCTTGGCGTAAAATGCAAATTCCATTTCATTCACCTTCGCGTTTCACTCTTTCATCATGCACAGAAGATTTAATGTTCGACGACAAGTTGGTCAAGATCTCACCCAGCTCTCCGGAATTTCCCGTTTTGACACCAGCAGCGTATAAAGTTTGCGGCAAAGTCATTTTATCGACGAAAGGAGCTTTGGACTATCGGAAAGTTTCTATCCAGAATACAGCTGCTACGTTCAGCAAAGAAATTGAGACAGATGCAAAGACGGGGGAATTTTGCATCTATCTCAATCCTGATACGTATCAATTGAGTGTTATCGTGAGCGCCGATGAAAGAGCAGAAGGTTTACAGTAAGTTTGTTCTTATTGTTTGCTTCTAATCTTTATTCAATTTTATCGTCTTTTGACATCGCAATGTTTCCAGATTTTTCCCATTGCAACAAACCATCTACGTGTCGTCCCAACCGATGCGCAACATTAACTTCCTCCAATTGAAAGCTACATTAACTGGGACGGTGATATGTTTACCAGAAACCGATTGCAGTCAGGCATCCGTAACGTTGAAAATGCTCGACGATGTCGTAATAAAAACGATTCAAGCAAAAGGTTAGATTTTACTTTGCCTTGTATCTTCTTCTTCGATGGTGAATTCCTCCGTTTTCGAAATACCGCGACAATGAGCAGGCGTGAAACTAAAGAAAAAGATGTTTCACATTTACTACAAAATAATTAGTTTAAACGCATTCTCATTGTCGCGGTTATACCGTGTAACCGGTCCATTTGATACTACCCTTTTTTCTGTAAAGTTTTCTTTAATCACGCAGGCGGCCAATACCAATTTACCGAAGTGCTACCTGGTCATTACGAGGTACTAATTGACAACGATGTTTTCTGTTGGGTGAACCCCAGTTACAGAATTTCTGTAACCTCGGAACGATCTGAATTACCGCCGTTCAGACAAAGTGGATTTTCCGTTACTTTCATATCTTCTCACGATACTATGGTCGAATATTTGAAAGCAAACGAATTGAGCAAGTTAACGTTGAACAAAGGAAGTACGAAGCATTGCGTACTCGAGCCTGGAGTCTACACGTTCACGCCGAAAAGTTGTCACGTTTATGAGAAATCATCTTTCACGTGGGACACCAATACCGTGTCGCCTATTTTGCTGCATTCTACAGAACACAGCCATGCAGGGAACATTTTAACTCGATCTGCGTTGGATGAAATTAAAGTAAAAATCGAGAATGCGACGGGCGACGTTACAATGTAAGCGAACGCGTGCCGTAATTCCTTATATTCATTATATTATTCAGCGTTAATGTTTTAATCCTATCGTTTCTACCACATAGTCTTGGTCCATTGAAGTCGACACGCGACGAAGACACGTACAAGTACAAATTCGAATTTAAGGCAAAGACGGACAACGTTTATGCTATAACACCGTTATCGAATATTCTCCTGTTTAGTCCGGCATCTCTAAAAGTGTTGGGTGTGAACGACTGTCAAGACGACATTGCTACGTTTGTGAGTGATCTAGGAAAGGTGAGTGCCGCAACACGTTTGCTCGAAATTTGCTCAAACATGATCGCCACATGGCGATACTGGCGTGTTTTATAGATAATTGCTGGTAGAATTAATCCACCGTTGGAAGGAGTTACCGTGCAAATATTTGGCAACGACAAAATGGAACCTATGCACACTCTGATCACACAAAAAGATGGAACGTACAGTGTCGGACCTTTGGATAGGAAAGTGGAATACAGGTATACACGCCATTTTTTCATTCGTTTCATACGTATGTAATCTTTAATTCTTTTTTTTTTTTTTTTTTTTGTTTATCAGTGTTACTGCGGAAAAAGAAGGATTCGTGATCACAGGACCCGATTCCAACGGAGCGTTCGTGGCTCATAAATTAGCCGAAATCATCGTACAAGTTTCCGACCAGGCTGACAACGTGTCTCTGCAAGTACGTACGAGTATCGAATGAGTAGTATGAGTTGATAGTGATTGTTGTCGCGATATCGACAGGGTGTGTTGCTGTCACTGTCCGGAGGACAGAGTTATCGAAAGAACAGCATCACCGGTGAGGAGGGGAAATTGGTATTCAATTCTTTATCCCCTGGCGAGTATTATTTGAGACCCATGATGAAGGAATACCGTTTCGATCCACCGTCGAAAATGATCAAAATCGTCGAAGGTGCCACGGTAAGGATAAATTTATTTGGGAAAAGAGTGGCGTTCAGCGTATACGGCTCCGTGACGTCGTTAAACGGCAAACCTGAGGTCGGTTTGCTAGTCGAGGTTCAGGGACAAGGGGACTGTGACAACCTTCAAGAAGAAGCAACCACGGAGGAGAACGGTGGCTTTCGAATCCGGGGACTTCAACCAACGGTATGCGAATCCCTTAACCCTTTCGGTACC